CTTCGCATTTGTTACTGAAATTTTGTTGAGTGAACTATAAACAAAAAATCGCACGATCGTCTCGTACAATTTGGAATTAATAGACACTCGTAATGTTTTGAAAGTTCTTTAATTGTACTCGCCTAAAGGCTCGTGCAATTACAAGAACTTTCAAAACATTACTCGYGACTATTAATTTCCAAATTGTACTCAAGATCGTGCGATTTCCTATACAAATGGCCTGATTTTCAGATATAATATGTGTTAATATGTACTAAAAATGTTCTCAGCATTTGCTGGCTATTCTACTTCTCTTCGTGGATTGATATGGGTTTTAGAACAGCTTTAGGTGAATTTGCGTTGATTTGGCCCCGTCCGACAACCATGATCCTTTGCATTTAGACCATAGATTGTTTTGATGTGACGTCATAGTGAAATAGGGCAATTGATCTCCAACCTCCGGAGGCAAGGATTCATTAWGCTTATGGCCTCTACCAATGACTATCCAGTTGAGAAAAGGTGACTTACTGGGACAACTGCGCTTCAACAACAAGTGATCCAGCATTAAAACATTATATTGTATTTACCTCTGTCCTGACTTCTAAAACTGACTTAAAATCTTTTGACATTGTTGCCAGTTTTGACTGAAAAAAGAAAAAAAAGAGTTAATAAAAAAATATTGATGCAGAGTGGAATGAGTGTGGAGTAAACTGTTACATGTTAGTAAAGATGTCTATTTTTATTTAAATAGCAGTGTCATATCATAGCAGCCCCCACTCCCAAAGTTTCATTAACATGTGAATATAACTGAAAAAACTCTAAAGATGAAATGCATAGTATTGGTTAAAAAAATGGTATATTGCCCCCTCCCCTAGGACTGAGACTTTGTTACTGTATGCCCCTGTTCAAGAATACTCAACAATAAAGATTTGAATTGTGTTTCGTCAAGCAATTTTTTCTCAGAAAAAATAATGTATTACCTGTAGGGTAAGTACCACAGTATTAGAATGTGTCTGTTGGTGTTTTCCTTCTGTGTGACTTTTAGACTTGACAAGCTATAAAAAGACAATTTAAATCAGTCTATATGTGACATATACAATAGCAGTCATGGTCGTTCATGATTCATGGTCTTCCCGTTAACCAATCAGGGATGAAAAGTAGAAAACTTAACAAGCAAGATTAACACTTCTCTTGTGCTCTGTAGCTCCCAGCATGTTTGTACGCATGCAATATTAACGTATATGACCCAAATCCACCGTTTTCCATTTCAGACCATGTGCCATTTCCTAGAGTATCGTTTCTTTGTTTAATGTTTATGCATCAGAAGGCACATTTTTATGAATACAACTCAAACACAGAATTATATTTTCAAGAGACTGGCGTTATATAAAATTACGCAGGAATCCAAGGAAGACAAGTTACAGTACCTCTTGGAGCTGTGCAATTTGCTGGTTTAATCCATTGATATCCTGTTTTATTATGTAAGTTAGTTCTTGTATTTCCATTGGCCTATCATCAAATAAGGACTTCTTCTTTGCCACTAAACAACAATGACAACCAAAAGGTGAGTATATTGTTCAATTACTCAATAAGCAATGCAAATATGGCTAGAGGATTTATAATTACTGCCAGGCTTTACACATGCTTTGGAATCTAATGGGTTATATATATAAGCTTAAGAATGACTAAATATATGGTATGGACCATTCTCGTGTGACAGCAATGTTGACTAGAGCAATCGTTCCCCCCTCCCTCTCTCCCCAGTGTAGCCTCTGATTCAAGTGCTTTAGAATGAGGTTATGAAGGGTTAAACTAAGGTTTTTATTTTCATGAGAATAAACATTGTGCTGTGCGATCATGGTCTGTACAAGTGGTATAGTGAATTGACATGGGCATTCTTGTCTCCTCACCCTCCCCTCCCTACACTTGTATTACACCAATTTTTGTTTTTGACTGCAAGACATATTTATGGAAATTTTAATAATAATAATAATAATGGTTTAATCAATAGAATCTACGAGGTGGCTCTTCACCTTGATAAACTATCTAATATACAATAACACACACACGAGATAAACTTACAATAATAAACTATGAAACTATAAAACAGACAAATTTTAGACAAAGATAAAAAATAAGATTGAAAATTATTGGAAATTTCTTATTGATTAATTCTAAAGCGATGTTATAATTATATATGAAAGAAAAGGATGAAATATTTGCAGATATTGGGGGTACGCTCCAACGCCCCTAAGCAACCACCTCAGGCCGAGATATCCGGGGCAGCAGACAAAAGAAACTGACCCCAATTCATGATATACAATTTATATGCATGATATATAATTCCATGATATACTTACAAATGGCTAGTTTTTCCAACTTGTGGAATGTATTACTTATGTCTTTGCCAATGTGCCTGGAGTAAAAATCAATCAAAGAACTGTGAATAAACATGTACATGCAACATAAAATTATGTAGCATTAATTATGGTAATTATAGTGAGAAAACAGTATAGTGCATGGAAAGATGAGAATATGTGGACCTTGTAGCACTTATGAAATACATGAAGATATAGAAATATATCATTCGTTTCCCAGCAAGGTCGGAAATTATTTTTTTCAAATTTAATTCTAAGGGCTTTTGCCCAGAATAACCTCGTTCCCAAGCACTTTAACTTCTCTATATTCCTATATCTTCATATGATGCATGGATATGAATATAAAATAGATAATCCAATAATCCATATTATAATATTATAATAAGAACTAATTTATATTTGATGTGAATTTTTTTGTATGTTCTTTAAACAATATTAACAGGTGAATATGTATTAATATTCAAAAGAAAAAGCATTATCAATAGACAAACAAATGACACTGGACTATGTTAGATTGTTTTGCTACCTAATGAAAAAACATGCTGTAATAATAATAGCTTTAAAATTATACCAGTTCTTTCTGGTCTGATTGGAAACTGGTTTATTAACCAATAGGCATTCAGAATTTCAATAACATAAACGATGTCTTAGAGCTGTACTTTGAAAAGTGAAACAACCGTTTCTTCATCATTTACAAACATTCTCTCTCTCTGGGTGACTGAGTACAATATATTTAAAGTTTTAGTCCTGAATTCAAAGGAAACTTTATACTGGACATATCAGCTGTTTATATTTTGATGTAAACAAAAATCAATGCAACCAAATTTAAAGATTAAAACTTCCAAATTGATCAGGGGAGATTGAGGGGGAGATTGAGGGGGAGAATGAGGGCCAAAGGTTTTTGCCACAGCTAATGTAGATCATCAGTAATACAGTGCCCACAAAAAAAAAAACAAGGATATTATTTTAATATATWTTTTTTAAGGAGGAATGGAACTTTGATCACCGAGCAGCATGGTAAAGGCCAGTAATATATAGGTACAGTTGTACCTGTTGATCAAATGATGGCATACCAGAACACATCGGGCATGACCGCAATGGTAGGGTAAGTATTGAATGAATGAGTAAAAATTAAAATAGGGTTTACGTACACCTTTGGCTTTTCCTACAGTAGGTTTAAATAGCCTATCAGTTGCTATTAACACATAAAAATCGAATATTTTCAGAGTAGAAAATCAACAAATACCGCTCAAAAACCATCGATATATATGTAGATGGTGTAACTTTGGTAAACATGCCTTCTAGCATATTGTATTAAGTGTTTGTTTGCGACACAAAACAAACAAACAAATACTCACTTGGCAATAACGAAGAACTGGCTCTTTTGATGGTGAACTCCATTCATTCCTTGAAGCTTCTGGTTGGTAAACGGGGATCCCTGTAGTACATCGTAATGGAATTAGAAATTCTTGTTTTATAAATTCATGTTTACATATGATGGTATTCATGTATGTATTTACATATTTGTTTTTAACGTCTAAAAACTACTTATACGTGTCTAATTTCCATTAAAATGCAGTTTTTAAACAATAAATGTCTGATAAATCTTATAGGAGATATATTTTGATACAGGGAGTCGCTAAAAAAACATATTTGGGAATCAACTTCATCCACGTAGTCAGACATCCTTCCCCGACGACCTTAGACGTCCAAAATTATTCAAAATTTTCTAAATCTGTATGAACCAACCTGACGWGTCTTTATAGACTTTACAGCGGAGAGAAACTCCGGTGTCCTTTCCCTGCATGATGTCATGTCCAAAGCTGAGTTATCAGCGTTTCTTGTGGAAGAAAAAGTGACGGTTGTCGAGTTGTGTTCTTGGTCTTCTCCACTAGACCTGGTTCGTCGGCGTCGTGTAGTCATTGGAGCAATTGCCCATTTTTAACAGCAAAAATCGGATAAGAAGTGACTCATGTCAAATGGTTTGGTTAAGACGAGATCCTTTTAGGCTTTGATAAGTTTTTTATAGTAATTTCGAGTTGTTATAATGGAGAAATTAGCCTTGAAAGTCAAGCAATTATTATTTCGACATACGAAACTCATAGAGGCAAATATTGAGAGGAAGTCTTGATGACGATGACGTAGTCCTTACGCGCATTTCCGCTGTACACATGACATAAAGGCTCCTATTACACAGGAATACCAACAAGGTCGAATATCAATAACATGCGCTTGTTGCTTGCCTCACTTCAAATAGACTAATTTATCAAAGAAAATTCTATCTTATCCCTTTTTATGTGTCAYCTAACTCTTCTTCATACTTTGATATAACTTTTTCAATTTTGGTCATTCATATGTCTAACCTTTTTACGGCGCAATTTTATGTTAAAATAAAGTATAGAAAGATACATTGTTAACATCATACTTTGCATGAATAAGAAAGAAAAATAAAAAGAAGGAAAGAGAGAGGAAAAAATAAAGAAAAAGAAAACGAAAATGACGTTTTTGGGTCGTGCCAGTCCCCCTCGTCCTTCAAGATATTGCTCACTTCGATTGATAAACAATGGTCAATGTCCAACATTCTCTGTTATTTTGGAACAAAAATTGTCCTTAAATCACACGAGTTTTCCTAGTAACCTAAAGAAGCTTTATATGGAAGGACTGGCTACCTTGGAGGGAGTTTTCATTCCTTTTTGCTACGTAGATATGACCGCTGTCGTCGTTTCTTGATATATTCTAGGACCAAAACTTGACAACTTCAAAATGATTAACGTTCTCAAATCTTTGCTCAGTCTTCCTCGAGTTCATCCAACCACTATTCCTGCTACTAATGTCGAGCCACCATTACCTGTTGGAGTTCTTCTGATTGTTACTATCGTATTCATGTCGATCTACGCCATCTTATTTATCTTTACCATATCACAACTTGTACTGATTTTGGTTTACAAACACAGGAGATTGTCTTACCAGACCTTCTTTCTCTTTACATGCCTGATCTGGGCAGGAATAAGAACTACACTTTTTTCGTTTTACTTTAGTGACTGTAAAGTTGTAAACAATCTGCAGGCATTTCCGAGGTGGTTCTTGTTTGCATTTCCTATATATCTTCAGTTCGTAATGCTTGGTCTTCTTACTTTATACTTGGTCAAGGTACTGTTTGTATTTCCGGCTTCCATTTAATATTCTTGTTTCGTTTACTCTATTTGTATTGGCTCAGGCAATGCTATTGTTGGATAACATATGATTATCCTTCTTAGACGGGGTTTGAATTACCTCCAAGAGCTTCAGCGTTGTTTATTTTTAAAACCGAAAATTTTTCAAATGAAAGTGTAATTTCAAAACTAAGTTTAGTTAAAAGAACACTAAATTTGATATTTGTTTTAGACAAAATTCAAAAATTTCAAATCTTATTTCAGCATTTTTAATTTCCTGTGGCAAGAGTATAGTGTGAAATGAATTCTCTGAGAGGGTCCTGGAGAATGTAATATGGAGTATGAGTAGGTTTTGTTGTTGAGCCCTTAAACCCACATGTAACTTATTGATTCCTATCTGATATTCACTGCAATTTGTTTTTTTTTGTTTAACTATTTTCAGCTGTTAGTGAAATCAGGAAGAACATCTATTGAACCTGCAAAACACAAGTAAGAAAAAATTAATGAGTGTTTAGCCATCATGCAATTCGTTTTGAGGGGGGTGAACTTGGGAAAGGGACTAATGCCAGAGACATCAGATAGATGGTGGGGTATCAATGACATCTATTCCTACCAGTGACATTTCTCTCTACATATTCAGTATATCCTCTACTGTAACTATCAAAAGTTGCCAAATTTGTAATATTGGATTTTATAGGATTTAAGAATATGCATAATGCACTAGAGTGCATACCATATATCTGTGAAAAAATTTGTAAGAAATTGCACAAATTAGTAAAGCTCAGTAGAACTCAGTGAACTGTAGACCTACAAAACTTTGCACTAATTTGTGACAGTGACCCTAATTTAAAGGAAACTGTACTGGATAGAAAGCTCTTTAATTCATTCAGCACATATACCTATTCAAATGCAGTTTTTAACCAATGGAGGTTTTGCACCATTCTGTGCTCAAGCCCATAATACAGCTTGGGCTGCCTGTGGTTAGATGGCAGAACAATAAAGTCCCTTTGCTCTCGGGAATTGAATTCTTTCTCATGTAAAACGATCGTATTGTTCCTGCCATCTAACATGGCTGCAGTCACGTGATGGTGCAAAACCTCTATTAAAATTTTTTATTTATTTTTTCTTTTTCTCAGAAATGTGCCAAATATCGTATTTGTCATATGCAATGTCATCTTTCTGGCCTTGAACATCAGTAGTTCCATACTGTGTCCTGAACAGAGCTACACTCAGAAACTTGTAATTGTTAGAGTTGTGGTTAATGAATTGCTGTTTATACTGGTGGGAATACTTCTGTGCATATCTATGAGAAAGGTGATGGTTATTGTGTACAATAGTTACAAAACATATTAATGCCTTTTCAGTTGCCAATCCAGGGGGGTTTAAAATTTTAAACCAAACCAAAGGGGTGCTATGGTTTGGCAAGCCATAAAAAAGCTTAAAGCTTTTAATTAGGGGGTTTCTACTCGTCCTTTAGGGGGTTCGATAAAATCAAGATAATTTAAGTAGGGAGTTTGTAGTTTTCATTTAAGTGGTTCGGTCAGAGGTTTGGACGAATCCCCCTAGATCAGCCCCTGCCTTTTAAAGAGAGAGTGAATATTGCGATACTCTTTTCTGAGGAAATCACATAAAGATTCCTAGAACTGGAATTAAGTACATGCATGATGTATTTAGCTCCTTAGGTCTTGGGTATTCCTCTTTCATTAGCTAAATTCCTTCATGCATGGGCAGGAATGAGATAGTAGTTTTAGTGAAGTTCCTTAAGCTAGTACGTAGGTGTGGTTTGCAATCTAGGGAGTGAATGTTGCACCATGGCTTTATCCCCTCCCTCTGTGCTACATGTTAAGGGAATGCAACACAGATTAGACAGAAGTTCAAATATCAGTATTCCAATGTCTTGTTCTTTTGTTAAATTTAGCTCACCAAAACACCCAACTCCAACCTCTTCTTGGAAGGACAGGTATAATTGCATTACTTGCATTTTGCATGATATTATTTGTTAGTGCAATGTATCCTTTATATCATTTGCTGTCTGTCTGCAAGTCATCATGTCTCTTGGTCTGTCCGTCTGTTTGTGTTGGTCATTCTATCAATATTATCGTAGAAGTTCAGAAAAATGCTTAAAAATCAATATGGTAATATTCCTCTTCCTACATTTGCATTTTGTTGCCTGAAGGCTTGGTGCATCATGGTATATTACATGATACATTACATGGTATATGCCACGTAAAACTATCATATACTATGTGCTTGGGTCATTTATTCAATCCTTTATTAACTGCTCATGTAATTGGTTCGTAGGGCACTACGACCTGTCAAGCTACAGCAATATGCATCATTGTTGTGCTGTTATACATGTCAAGAGCTGTTTACAACATGATAGCAGTGACTGTGCAGCATGACTTATCAAACTTTGGATTTGGATGGATTAATGTCTCTGATGAGGTCTCTCTCTTTCACCTTCCCAAGGGCGGATCCAAGGGGAGGGTCGGGGGGGGGGGGGGGCGCCCCCCCTTCCTGAGGTCAAATGGGCTTCCTGTGGTAAAAATGCGACTGGGATTCCTTTGCCCACAAAATTTTCCCCTGAGACCCCCCCCCCCCCTTCAAAAAACCCTGGATCTGCCCTTGCTTCCATAGATAAATAATGTATTAATTAATTTATTAAATTAGCATTCAATTACAGTTCTCCTAATGCTGGCGAGCACATGAAAATGAGGTCACCCAGTCGTCTTGCAAGGCTGAGCAAGGCAGCTCAATTTCTATACTTTTCTTCTATAAACACATTTCATGTTCTTTTATATCTTTTATTGTAAAATAATGACTGAGTGACCTCGTTTTTGTGCACTTGTCAGTCATTATGAGAAGGGTGTATAAACTTGGCTACTTTTTAGTTCCCTTAGAGATGGGAGATTGGGTCTGAGTGGGACTTTGTCCCTATATTTTGAGAAAAATCCATATTTAAATGTAGCATACTTTTAGGGGCAATAGACATTGAGCATTTGACATTGGGCACATTCTCTCTTCAGGCGATGTGCCATTATTTTGAGTATTATTTCGTTTTGCTGCAAGTGCTTGAGATGATACATACATGGAGTTTCGGGACTGGGATTCAAAAAAAAGAAAAAGGAAAAAAAACAATCAAAAATCGGGAATGGGATTGAGTTTTGATCAAAACATAGGCTAGGACTGTGGGATTTAATCAAAATGGGGGCTGTGAAATGGGCGGATTAGGACCCTCTTCAGGACCCTTGTAGTTGGATGACGGAAGCGCTTTTTCGATTTAAGACCCACCAAGCATTTGAAATCCAATTCATTTGCAAATATTTTGTTCTAAAGGGAGAGATTGAACACAACCACAAACTACAGATGAACGTCAATAATCACAGATTCCTCTCGTTTGGTATCGTCCTGATCGTCTGGGAAGTTCTCCCAACCTTCATGGTCATCTGGTTTTTCAGGGTACGCCGTCCTCAAGCGGCTAACTTGGTAAGTACATATCTTGCAATCATTGCATTAGCTTTCTTATGATATGAAAGTTTCGCGAGGCTTTAACTTCGCGATTGCGACAATTTAAGCGGAAAGTGCCGAGAAAATGTAATGATCCTTTTCAGTCTTTTTGTCTTAGAGCACGATCTTTGGGAATGGAAAAATCCAAGTCAAATTGTTCTCTCCGACAAGAAGGCATTTTGGATTCTCATCAAACCTCGCAAAAAAAGAAAAGAAAAAAAAAAAAGAAAAGAAAAACAACTCACGCCACTTCCCTTTAAAATAGGCTTGGAACCTTGAGAACGTTTTTGGCTAAGAAATATATACGTTTTCACGTGTATATTTTCTTGAGTTATGAGAGACGTGGGTGGCAAGGTGCTTGAATTAAAAGTATATGTAAGCTTATGATAAGGAATGAAGATGAACACCATCACCATCATGATCATCAGCGTGGATGGTAGAATAATGCTTGTGTTCTTGTTTACCTTAGTTACAGGGACCAAGTATCATAGCGTCAAATAGTTTTGACCAGAGGTCGTATTTCTTCGATAATCCACGGCGCTATGATTCTGATGAGGATATCCACACTGCTGGGTCTGGTAAAAGGTAATGAATTCAGTGATCATCGAAATTATGACCATCATGGTCATCATCATTATCATCATCATCACCACCATCGTTATCATCATCACATCATCGCGGCAGAAGCCTCATTTGATTTGCCTGTACTGCTCCAACTCGTGCTTTCCTCATGTTTTGTCCACTGTTCAACATATCCTTGCATCACCACCATCATCATCATCATGTAGAGTCATCATGTTTTGATGCAACATCRTCATCTCTGCTATTAACAATGTTGTCGTCATTATCAAAATGCATCACTATCATAAATATTTACATCATCAGATGCATCATCATCATGGTCATCATCAGAATCATGTCATTGTATTGATGCATCATCATCATCTCTTCCACCAACGACGTCTTCATCAAAGTGTATCACTATCACTAATCATCATTATCATCCATGCATCATCATCATCWTCATCGGTATCATGTCATCATTGTTTTGATGCAACATCGTCATCTCTGCCACCAACGTTGTCATCATAATCATAATGTATCACTTTCATAATTATCATCATCATCATCATCATCTGATCATCATCATCAACTGAGTTCCAGAATCCCACCATTAAATTCAAACTAACTATACCCCCCTTTGAATTCATCACAGTAATTATGACATCCCTGGAGTACTCAGTCCCTCGTCCAACTCCAACTCCATCAACACAGGCCACCCAAAGTCATACGGGTCGATACCTGTTAGCAAGAGTGGAAGCTTCAACCGCAGTAGTAGCTACCCCAGTGCTTACATCCCAGGTACCACCCCTCCCATGCTCTTTACGTCTGGCAACCAGGGAGGGTATCAGAGAAGCCAATTAGAACCAGTCAAGGATAAGGATTAGTATCTCACTAGGATAGTTTTAATAGGAATATTCATGGTGTATTTTACCATGAACCGAGTTTCTACAAGGTAGTGAACTTGCGTCGCCACAGGTAGCCCGAGCTCTGCTTTTGTGCCGTTATATTACAGACCAATTATATTGTGACGATTCATATCTGTCCCTGTTCCACCGAGCTTTTGCGTCATTTTCTTGTTATTTTCGCTAAATTAGCAAAGAACAATGCCCAAAAATTGAGCTTGGGCTGGTCGATCAGCTACCTTCGAGAATATAAAACAAAACGCAGGGATTATAATGAATTTTAGCAGGAAAAATCTGCTCGTACTAAGTTCAAATCTACTCGTACTAAGTTCAAATCTAGCGCGGCTTGTGTTAACTGCGTAGTCCTATTCTATTGGATGAAATTTCAAAGTACATCGAGACAACGTAACACCTTAAGGTTTTGCTTCTTTTAGTTTTACTCGAGTTTGTCTGAATTTGTTGCTGCATCTTTTGAGTACGATTGTACTGGTCGTGTTATAGATATATTGGAAGATATAGGTTTGATATCCAAGTTAGCTAGACTTTCATCTAAATATTTCTAAAGAAAAATAGTACGGTAAATAATGGCCTTAACGCAAAGCTACAGAGTTAGAATTAATCAGAAAGAAGAAATATGACCAATGATTGGTCGAACCGCGACACTCCTGATCCGATCTAAGTTAGGCAATCTCTCTTCGTTTAATAAGTTGCGGTATACGACAACAAATACTTTTTGCGTAGCAAATTTTAGAAAAATAGTTGCTCGTATTTTAAAATACTTCGCGCGCAACAAATTTTCGTAGAGGCCATCAGAAAAATACTTCCACGAGGCATGTAGCGAGATGTTGTCGCGTATAACAGATTTACCCGAAGAATACTCGACGTTTTACCGAACATGCTGCGCGAATGCCGAGGGGCGGTCTAACCTGGTTTTCGTTCTCCAGGCTCTTTTGCTGACCCACGACCACTATAAGGAAAAGGGCCTGGAAACAGGATTTGCTGTGTAGATGTGTTTGTCACATGGCGTTAGTTTCAAGGAGAGCTTAATTCTTTAGTTAGTTTTCACAAGACCTTCTTGTAAATCACTATTGTGAAGAGACATCCCGTTGAAATATTATTGTTAATGAAACATTTTGTAATAAATCAGTGTAAAAATAGTCCAAACACGCGGAAATTCCAGCAGTTGGTCATTCCCAGGCGTTAGGAATTAAACTGCTAGATTTTGGAGCTCGTTAGTCAAGACAAATCGAAAAATAAAAAGGAAATAGCAAAAAGATATATCGTCAAAGGAAATTTAAAAAATAGTTTATAGAGAAGATTTTAAATGAACAAAGAGATTTAGTAAAAAAATAAAGATTACATATGAAAAAGAAACTGCTTTAGATTTGTACGAACTTTTCACGTAGATATTTATGAAAATAGACCTCTTTACCTAGGCGTAATGTTTCACACAACTCAAAGAACCTTATTCACAAGAGAATGACACGTGGTGTGAAATGGAAAATTATTACGCCCAAAAGTAAAGATTGTATTTTCTTGGATGCGAAGCTTACAGGAAAATAAGAAAGAAATCCTACTTTTTTTGAGAAAAACGTTGGTGAAGGTTTTGTTACAATTGCATGCATACCAATTCCAAAATGCGCTATGTGTGATGTGAATGAAATTTAGCGAACGGTCACAACAATAAGTCGTTATCAATATAACTTTGTCTGCACATTTTTTCCTGCAGTTTTTTTTCAAGTTTGATATGCAACGAAACCTTCACTAACCTTTTTTGAAATAGCCGGTTTTTTTTCGTAAGCTCTCTCCATTCGCCTTGTTTTTTTCTGCACGACTTGTGCGTACTGTACCTATGACGAGTCCAGTTATACCTCGCCTGTATAAGGAAACATCATTTAACAACAACAACAGTTACTAAATAAATAAATAAATAATAATAAAAACAACATTAAAAAAAGAAAAAAGAAGAAAAAAAAAAAAAAAAAAAACGATTCTACTCCTTTACTTTATCAATCATGGTATTTTTTTATTTCCATGCCGTTCAGAATTATTAATTATTATTCTTTTATGTACAATTTTTAATTTTCTTGTCTGCGTCGTAGTTGTGTGCTTGTATTGCAGAGGAGAAGTTTGAAGTTTCGAAGATTTTAAAAAGTCGTTTTAAAAATCGGCGCGCGGAATCGTAGGTTTTGATGGACGTCAATCAAGGCGTTTCCAAGGCATTCCATAGGTACGTGCTCTTGAAAACTTTGTATTTTCCAACAATGTCGTGGAAACAATATTGATTGTCTTCCACCAAAAATCCTATTATTTTGCTTTGACGACAAATTGACAATTTCGCGCGTGCGATGAAATGTTTCTCAATGTTATTTTCCATAAAACTGCTGAAGGCGAAGGTGTTGAAGTGCATTAGAAGGCATGAAAGAGAAAACTTCCTGAAGATGTTGAGCACGCGAGCACAAAATGATGTCTTACGCGCGCCACTTTACGTCTGAGGATCATGTCTAAGCACCACCTACTGAAGATTTTTCAGTTTGAGATTGATGCCTGTGAAAACAAAGAGAGGAAAGAAACTTGCTTAGTAGAATGCATACCATATATCCATGAAAACCTTTGTAAGAAATTGCACATATTTGCACAAATTAGTAAGTTAAGTAGACCTCAGTAGACCGTAGACCTACAAAACTTTGCACTAATTTGTACTATTTTGTTAGTTAACTTTTTCATGGTTATATGGTATGCACTCTAGCTTATATGTCTGTGGAAGTCTTCGCGATATACCTACTGCCACTAACGAAATGTTCTGTCAAGGTAAATCTGTATTGTACGATGGTATGCACTCTAGCTTATATGTCTGTGGAAGTCTTCGCGATATACCTACTGCCACTAACGAAATGTTATGTCAAGGTAAATCTGTATTGTACGATGGTATGCACTCTAGCTTATATGTCTGTGGAAGTCTTCGCGATATACCTACTGCCATTAACGAAATGTTCTGTCAAGGTATATCTGTATTGTACAATTTTCAGGATTTTTTATCGGACATTTTTAAGACCCTAAAACAGAGGTTAGTTTTCTCCGCAGATTTAACCTATGATCTCCTGCACGCTCACAGGCATGTGGAACACTAATCTTATCTTTGTAGTCATTGATGTATGCTTGCAAGTCGTGCCTTGAACACAACTTACCCGTGGTCCATATTCTTGAACTTCGTCAAGTAGTTAATACTGCTTGATAACCTGTGCGAATAAATCAATGACAAATTATTAAATATTGAAGTATTCATAGATAACTATAACGAAACTCGAGTTCTGATTGCTTGGGGGCGCGTGCTTTCCTCATTTTCTGCCAAGATCCCGAGTGCCTTATCTGCACACGGCATGTGCGCGTTTTCTTCTATAGCGCATGAGGCGCAACCAATCAGAAAGCACGATTTTCGGCCTTTCTTTCTTTCTCCAATTTTTAAATTTTTATATTGTAGTTTTTTCTTGGCGAGGTTAGACAGTGAGATTCTGAAGATAATTGGCATTTTTCTTACCTTGCAAACCCATTAAATAAAGAAACGATTTCAGTTCTCTTTAGGTTAAAACTTTGTGATTTTAAAACATTGTCTCCTTCAAATTCATGTCCAGAAAACAGGATTTTCAAGGCGGTACCAAGACCTTGTGTCTGTAGAACAGAAAGATGGTTGAAGTTAGATCATGCTTTTGTACAGGAATGTGAAATTTTCTGCTTCATGAGTATCTGAATAAAGCTTTACATTGACAAAACGCGAACCGTTAATACTTCGAAGTTTTTTGCAACCTTTTTTAAATGCATACTTTAAACCATTCCTTGAGCCAACCGATTGAAAATAAGATTTATTTTGAGCACTCGGTGTATTTGAACTTAATGCTTCATTATAGAGGGCACTAGCGTAGAGAGGGGGCACGCCCCAAAAGTTTGCTTTAATTCGGCACCAACATTTGATTAAATCATGCGGAATTCCTGTGGAATTGGCGGGAAAATGGTACATTGTCCCCCCCCCCCTCCCCCCTCTCCGCGAGACGTCGTTACGCCCTGATAGAGGGTTTGAAACAGTAGGAAGTTAAGAAAACACTGAATAACCTAAAAAAAACGTCCAGGGTTCGAGTGTCTCAACTGAGCTGGTCAATATTTTACCTGTAGTTTTCCCCAAAGTCTACATTTTTCACAACCAACGCAGTCCATTATACGAGATACATTTAAGAAATGCTGCCTGAATTCCTCCTACAAAGAACAGAAATACTTTCAGTATGTCTAAACCAAAGTTAGGGTTAGTCCAGATCATAGTGCCTATTATATAGATAGTGGAATGATTATATAGATACGTCTGTGTGTAGCTTAGGCATCTCCTGTCGTGGTTTTTGTACACACACTGTTTTCCCGAAGCAATTGTACTTAAACTAACCCGTGAAATAGATGGTGAATCTCCTTTCTATCGTTTCTATCGTTTTCTTTTGCGTATATTTGACTATTACAAGCAATCTCTTGGTAAAGTAAAATCCCTCTTTTCGAGAGGCGAACATTACCTTGAGGATTTTAGCAGTTGCTGGGTTTTTAAACATGACCTTTTCATCAAACGTACTGGGACAAGTCCTGAAAAAAAAAAACATCAGAACTAATTTCAAACATACTTCAGCGATGCTACTAGTAACAATAGCGTTGACCATTACGATGATGAAGCATTTAGGTATAGACGAGAATCGAGAACAGTGTTGCAGTGCGTATTTTGATATTGGAATCAAGCAAAGTTAATGTCGATGCAGACCAAGCATGCGCATAGCGTTTTTCTCTCTGGTGCCAAAAGTAGCTACATCTTGGAACACTAGCTTCTCACCTACCTCTGGGAACTAGGGTTCGATACCTGGACTCGCATCACGTGCTTAGAGTTTGTTATGTCGTTCCCTTAATGGGAGGTTTTTCTCCGGCTTCTCCCATTTTTCTTCCTCTACATTCCGACCACGCTAAATTTCTGTAAGCTAGCCGTGCTCTGACTTTGATCCGTCCAGAGGTTGTTTCCGGGAGTTAGCAGGGAGTTAGTTTCAGAGTTCAATCTGTGATTTTGCCATGCCCTGACTTTGTATTGGTCCAGAGATTGTTTCAGGATTCGATTTGTGAGTTAGCTTCGCCCTAACTTTGAGTTAGCCGTACCCTGACTTTAAACAGTCCAGAGGTTGTTTCAGGGATCTATCTGTGAGTTAGCCGTGCCCTGACTTAGATCGGCTCAGAGGTTGTTTCAGGGTAGCGATAAAGGGTTTTTTCTTACCTAGAGTGCGCAATTAGTTTCTGCACCAATTCGTGCACGTATTCATCTTCTTCATAGTCGCCGGTATAAAACTGTTCGGATTCCCAGAACGAGGCGGCTTTTGTTACTGCCCTAAGTACCATAGTATAGGTGAAATATAGATTCTTGAGCCAAACTGGACCTAAAAAGAAAGAAAAGTGGTTAAGCCTTCGTCGAAAATAGAGAGAAAATTTATTATGTTTATTTATGGCGCATGGCACGGTCATGGCACAAAAATGAACCAATCACAGCGATTGAAATAATTACTTATGCGATTGTACAATGCTTTGATAATAAGCCACCAGTTTAGGCTCGATCACAATTGTTTTTCATTTCAGACCACGTGACATTCTCTTGAGAACAATATTCTTTGTTTGAGTTGCATCTGTATTCATGTGTCTTCTAATGAGCAACCATTAAACAAAGAAATTATATTCTAAAGAATGATACGTGGTCTGAAATGGGAAAACATTACGCCCAAGGTAAAGAGGTCTATTCATAGAAATATGCCATCATATGGAGAGCCATCATAGCTAGGAATGATGCCAATACTCTCTCACCAATATGGTCGCGGGTTCGATGCAGCATGATGCAGTGCCAAATAAAGCTGAATTAGCAAATATTCTTCCCTTCTCGGAGAGGTTTTGTCGCTTTTTCCCAACCCTCAAAATCCGAACCCTGTTCTCCTTCTGCGTCAATGAAGAACGATAAGCTGCAACTAATATTTTGAATTCTTATACCTTGAGGCTGAATTAGCAAATATTCTTTAATTCTTGGAGAGGATTAGTCGCTTTTTCCCAACCCTCAAAATCCGAACCCTGTTCTCCTTCTGCGTCAATGAAGAACGATTAGCTTTAACTAATATTTTGAATTCTTATACCTCGATCATCAGTAAGTTCAGAGCTGAACCTCTTTGTAAACTCTTCTAAGTTCATTCCCCATTGGGGCTTCTGTAATCCAACTCCTAACGGAAAAGAAAGAAAAAACAAAATTGCATGAGAATTGCAGTTCTAGTTATGGAATTCTGCTAAAAACCATGGTTAAATAGATTAAGAGAGCAGAAGGTCGGTTCTACTTACCTGGAAATAAATAAAGTGCTGATAAATGGATATTAATGCTTGCATGTAGTCCTGATATAGCTCTGTAAAACACTCTTTTTTCAAGACACATACCTGGAATAATAAAATACCACAACAATATTAAGTGCTTAAAGTAACATCCCTTGTTCTACTTATTCTTTTTCCCACTCAATTTACCTCTTTTTATCATTTTCTCTTCCCTTCTCTACCCTGCTTACTTCTTGCCCTTCTCTCGTCACTCATGCATCGAGCTATTTGTTCCTTACCCTACGCCTTTCCCTTCTTGCCCTAATTATCCATGTTTCCCCTCCGATCCCCCTTCCACAGCTAATTTCCCGTCTGACCCTCCCCCCTTCGGTTTTAAGCCCAGCTGTCTATAAGCCCACCCAAAATCCTCTGTGAAGTTGTACAAGCCCAGGGCTAATAACTGGGATTATACGGTACTTACTATCAAAATTCTTTGTCATGAGTTTTCTGTAGCCTTTTCCTTTAGGTTTTTCTGGCCTGTGGACCAAATTTCCAGCATACATATAAGTCAATATTGATACAATAACTTCTTAAATTTGATGTAGATTAATGTTATACCCTAGTGACCACTAGCTGGGTGATCTCATGCCTCAACACTGAACAACAGTGAGTACAACAGAGGCATTAATAGACCTCATCCATTTGAACACAGTATTTTCCAATTTCAGATCATGTGTCATCCCATTGGAAAAAGATTTGTTGAACAAGTTTCTTTGATAATACTAACTTATCTGGTATTAATGGTAAATAATACTCAAGGGAATGACAGATGACCTAAAATGAAAGTCTATTAGGTAGACCTATGATATAAATTTAATGTCCTTTTATAAAACTGGTAGGTCCTTTCTTTTCAAACTTAATGTCTAGAAATATTCATGCATGAAAAACATTTGGCCGCTGTTAAAATGCTTACTTAAAACAGTTTTCTTGATAAATACTATTCCATATTCTATGGGCAGAAGGACCTTTGTAGCCAGTATATCTCTCTGGGTTCCTTAGAAGATCTACATAAGCCATTCCTTCTGTTGATTCATCTAGGAATTAAAGAAAAATAATAAGAAAGAAGGAATGGAAGGAAGGAATAGGGAAGAAAGTAATAAAAGAAGAAAGAAAAAATGGAAGTAAAAAATGGAAGAACAGCAGGAACATAGGAAACAAGGAAGAAAGGAAGGAAGGAAGGAAGGAAGGAAGGAAGGATGGATGGATGGATGG